TAGAAATTAGACAAAGCATTTGAATTAGACGAGATCATTTTAGCAATATTAAAATTTATTGAATAAAATATTATAAAAAAGATTCTCAAAATTTGAAAGTAAACGCGTTTTCAAGTTTTCTATTTTGAGAAATAGTTTTTCTAAATAACAAAGAGAACGAGTTTTCAATATTTCCAAAATAGACACTCAAAACAGAAAACACAAAATGAATTCAAAACTCAAAAACACAAAATTGAAACACGAAGAGAACGGCACCTTAGGGTTTTCATATGCTCATTGAAAATTTTAACAGGAGAAAATGGAAGAAGAATTGATATTTGGAAAAATTACACGACGCCGGTGTAAGATTACAATTTATTCTTTATTATTTTTTTCTTTTTTATTTTATTTATATAGGATGGTATATTGATTATTTTACGTTAAAAATAGGTAAAAATGACGTTTTCCTCAATGAAACGTTAAAATATGGGTGAAAATGCAAAAAATTTGAAACATAAGGACTTTTTGCACACTGCATGCCAAACGTAAGAACGTTTTGTGCGATTAAGCCCAAAAAAAAAAAATCAAAATCTAGGGGGTCACGTAGCCCCCCAGCTCCTCCCCCCAGCCCCTGCCCCTGCATACAGGGAGGAAGGGAGCGAGAATAGGTGTGAGGCTATTAGTGATTTTGGCTGGCGACTACTTGTGGTGTTGGTTAGTGGAGTGGCTACAGCTATGGGTAGGGGGTTTGGTTAGGTTAGGTTGGGTTGGGTTGGGTTGGATTGGATTGGGAGAGGATGATGGTGGAAGAAGGTGAACAAAATTGCATTCTGGTATATAAATTTTTCTGTGTGTCACTTATTTAGACTACAATTGAAATTAGTTTTTTCCTCTTCTTTTCTTTTTGTTTTATTTAAATAGAAAGATATATTCATCATTTCCAATTTTTTTATCGAGAAAATAGACGACGTGACCTTTTCTGTCAATTCCATAGGCGGGGGAGGTTCGTGCACCATGTTTAATAGGTGGGGGATTTTGCACTTTCTTCCCCTTGATGGAACGGGACGATAGTATTCTACACTAACAGGTTTCAAACAAGGACATTTGTATTTTCGACAACATATCCAATGGGTAGGGGATTTTTTGTTGTTTAGTCTACATTTTATTTAAATGGGATGGCATATTTTTTATTTTCAATCTTTTCATTTAAAAACAGACGTCGGGGACTTTTTTTCGCAAATTTCAATAAGTGAGGGATTTTGAGCAACATGTCTAATAGTGGGGATATAGCCCTTTTATTTATTTATTTCATTTTTTCCCTATTTATTGTGATTTAACGACGAAACTGATATAATAGGAAGACTCTGGGCATTTCGCACTAGAAGTTTCAAACATAGACCTTTTGTGTTATTTTCAAAAAGTAGGGCGTTTCCGACAACATATCTAATAGGTAGGAGGTTTGTCTTTCTTTAGCCATTTGAAAATGTAGAGATGCTTTTTGAAGAAAAAAAATTAAAAATTAAAAAAAGCAAGTAATCTTTTATAAAAATTTCGTTGATGATCGTCAACGGGATGACCATTGGTGATTTTAATTAAAATTATTACTTCAAAGAGAATTACAATTGATATATTATTAATGATCATCGACACACCTTCATCAATAATTATCAACGATAATATCAATGATGTAGTTAGGAGATATCAAGATATTTTAATTACCAACTAATAGACATTGATGATTGCCGACAAAATGAATGGTGATATTTATAATTTACAATAGTAAACTAGATTATTAAATTCGTTCCCCGCTTCAACTCCCGGCACTTCTCCCAAAATTTGCTTGCCTATGTTAGCTTCCTCTTTTTCTTCTTTGATAATCTTTATTACCCGGCATAATTGATTTTTTTTTTTTTTAACTTTTAGTTTGTTCTCGACTAAAATTTTCAATTAGTATTCCATTTTTGTATTAACTTATTTTCTTAAGTAAATTAAAGTTGTCAAACTATTTATAAAATTTTTGAGTTTTGCTACAAAAACAGGGTCAATGACATGTATAAAAACAGGTGGGCTACGTGTCATTCAATAATTCGACAATTAAAAAAAAAAAAATCACCCAAACAGGTGCTGACACCTGTTTTTTCCCACATTGTCACTAACCCTGTTTGAATACCTTTGCTCTCAATATTATCTGCCCTCCTACCCCCGTGGACAAGACCCACTGCTGAAGTGGCAAGAAAACCTTAATGCATAATAACAAAGCTTACGAACATTAAAACACTAATAAATTAATCCCAGCAACCATAAGCAGATCCAAGGCGCCAGCTTTTATACATAAATCTTCTCAACAGTCATTGGAAAAGCATAGTTTCTATCAAATGTAAGCGAAGCTACAAAAACATGAACTCACCTGCAATAAGCATAAAAATTGACGAGACCAAGAAATAATCTCACTTGGAAGCTTGGTGAAGATTTCATTTAGGACCGACCGAATAAAGCAACACGATGATTTTGAGAGAGCTAGTTTGACCTAGGAGCGGCCCATTCAACTCTGAGGATGAGATTGTCATACCCATATCCATTTAGTTTGTTAATAGCCCTTTCAGCATCTTCCCTGTTCACAAAGTTGACAAAACCGAAACCTCTGCTCATGCCAGTCTTCTGATCAACAGCAACATAAACTCGGCTCACGTTACCAAATGGACGGAATAGCTCAAGCAAATCAGGCTCCCGTGTGTCTTCTGAAAGGTTGGTGACCCTAACAGAGTTCTCTTCATTCCTACGTCTCATATCAGTCCCACCAACCCTTTCAGCACCACCACCTCTCATACTTGGAGGAACATATGCTCCCTTTGTAGCACCAGTTGCAGGAGCAGTAGCTTCTGACGAAGGGGGCCTATCATTGATGCTCTCACTTGGTTGAGCAAGATCTTTGTACGGGCACCTTGATGTCCAGTGATCACCCTTTTTACCACAGGTCCTACAAACCATGAGAACAGCTCCTCCTTTCCCCATTTGAGCTAAAGGATCGCCAGCAACCTTACTCTCCTCTTGTTTGGTACCTATATGCCATTCATCAATAAGCAGGTTCAAGTAACGAACCAACAAACTTCGGAATTTGAATGAAAAAATAACAAAAAAAGCCTAGAAAATGCCTTCGCTTACCACTCGGTTAAATAAACACTAGAATAATGATACTTAACTATCAGCGATTACCTTGAGCTTGACAGTAAAACCTTCACATAAAAATTTCACATGGACAGCAAAACAATAAGATAACAATTCCATGCAGTGTTTCAGACTATTTCCAGTGCATAAAAAAATTCAAAAAGATTAAGCCAACATGGGCATGAAGTTTCTTCCTCAGAATACACTGGAGGATTTTATTTATTTATTATTATTATTAATTTTAAGATGCTTTCGTTAGCAAACAAACATCTCAATAAAAATTTTCAAGGGAAATCATTAAAATCAATAACTATTCAGACTTCCAGAAGTGTGGGAAATTAAAAAAAGCAAGCCAACAAACTAAGCCATATTCTCACTAAAATTGAAAATTCATAGTTAAAACCTGTTTCACCACTATTTCAACTCATCGCTACATATATTAAAAGATCTAATGAACCAATTCCTTTGCAACTGCATCAGAACTTCATTAGTTGCCGTTCTCTTAATTTATTAGCAATTGTTATCAGCTTCAGCATATAATCTCATAAGTTATAAAGTTAAAGTGCAAGTAAAATTAAAATGATGACAAAACCAATCACCAAAGATAGTTGATAAGAACTGATTGATATTTTGAGGGCAAATTGCACAAGGGATTCCAAACTTTCAAAAAAGTGTCGTGTGGTTCAAACCTTTCCTTTTTTGATTATTTCAAAACAGCGATACGAAAAGAAAGTTAGCTTCCATTCTACAAGCGGTAGCTTCCGTCGACAATTTTCGCCCAAAAATCAGTTAGTTCACCAAAAAATTAATGATAACATTCGTTTGACCAATTTAAAGAAGGCAAAAGAGTATTTCCACATCATCTTATTTAAAATAATTAAAGATGAGAAATAGAAAATAATTAAAAAAAAAAAAAGTAACAAAAGAATTGAAAATAGAAAAAAAATAAAAATTAATTTAATGGTCCCTTCTTTCCCACCCCCACCCCAAACCCAACCCATCCCCCACCTACCACCACCACCCCACTCATCCCCACTCCCACTGCTGCACCACCTACTCCCCCAGCCTGCCAACACCAAACCAAATCTTAGAAGAACAATTTCACAAGCACTATCCAAACAAATCATGGCCTAAATCAGAAGCTTCAAAACTTGGATATGTCTTCAAAGTAGCTTGCCGGCATTATTCCTAAAGGGGGGTTGTGCCTCAAAAAAGTGTGGAGTACCAATTCTGTATAAGAAAAAAATTCTTTTTAGGTCAATACCAAATGACCAGGGCACAAGTAAGTCCGAGGCTCGAGCAAAACAATGGTAGCATTCCAAATGAGTTAATTTACCTGACTGAGTCAAATCGAATTGTAAAACAATATGTTGTCTGGGACCTAGTCTTAACGTGGTAATTCTTCGTTTGTTGGGACTAAATTAGGTCAATTGAATCTGTCCTACAATCAACTTTCATCTCTTTTTTTTCATCACTCTTTTCAAATTTGTTTCCCTCCAAATCCTGCTGTGTAGAAACAATTTCTCTGGTCCAACCACACCTTCTATGGATGAACTTCATCAAGCTCTAAAGCTCAACCTTAGTAGAAATCTTTAACTTGCAAAGTCCCACTTGAAATTGAAAATTGTGTTCTGATTTATTTGGACTTGAGTCATATGTCTTTCTTGCTCAATTCCAATAGATATATGCAATAACGAAATCAAATATCCAAACTCTGGTTTAGTAGCAAAACCAGAGTTTTAAATCTAATTCAATGGTGGCAGAGTAGGGAGAATGCTGGGTGGTGCTGCAATGGGGATGAGTACGGTGGAGGTTATGGTAGCAGGTGGCAAGTGGCAAGTGGCAAGTGGAGACAGGGTAAGTGTTGGGTTAGGATGAAGGAAGCATTTTCTTTTTAAATTTTTTTTGTTGTTAGTTTTGTTCCTACTTTTTGTTTTCTATTTCTCTTTTTTAATTATTTTAAATATGATAATATGAAAAGACCTTTCTGCCCTTCTTTAAATTAGTCAAATAAAGGTTCTTCACTATTTTTGGGTCAACTATGTATATCAATTTAAAAGTTTGGGACTTCGGATGCAAAAAAATGAAAGGTTCGGACCCACATCACTTTTTTTGAAAGGTTTGGGACTCCGTGTGCAATTTATCATATTTTAATGTGAAATAATAATATTTAGCCCTTGTTTGGTCCCTAATATTTTCAATATACATTTTTACTCTTATTTTCAACCACACATTCTTCAATAAAATAATATTACGATTGTCCCAAAACTTTACATTATTTTTTAACTACACATTCTTCATCAAATCACTATTCCAAAATGTACAAAATACAATGATGCCACATTATCAAAATAAGTAAACCATGCAATTGTAAATTTTCATGAAGTATGATTACCAAAATGCCATAGTGCATTACAATGTTAAACCATAATAACTCGAATGATATTTTCCTGTTCCTCGAGTAAGATAGAAGATTTCCTGATCCTAGGTACTCTTGTATGGGATGCATTGTCCTTTAGGATATGATTATACATTTATACCATGGGGGCTTGAGATGAACAATTGTTATTATGCTCACTAAAGATAATGGTAAGCAATCTCTAAAGCATGTCTACAGTCTACCTAGGGGTTGAGATTAAAACATCAATTAATTTATCAAAAACAGTGTATTACAGTACATGCGAGGAATAATCCTTTCATATAAATTTGTACCTTTACACAACTTCTATTATATGATAAACTTCAAATAAATCCCATGAGTTCCACATCTTTATCTCTACTTTTGAAAATAATAAACCACTACACTTATCAGGCTGCCACAAAAGCAACTCAAACTCACCTCTAACATAACTCATTTCAAAAACGAGAAACCAAATTATACAAATTCAATCACATCTAAGACGAATAAAGCTCCAAATTTCATAAATCAATTTCAAAAGCATCTCAGATTCACCTCTAAAATCCAATAACTCAATTCAAAACGAGAAACCAAATCATACAAATTCAATCACGCCTTATATGAATAAAGCTGTAAATTTCAGGAACTCATTCAAAAGCACCTCAGATTCACCTCTAAAATTCCCATAACTCATTTCAAAAGGAGAAACCAAATCATACATTCAATCACACCTAAGATGAATAAAGATCTAAATTCCAGAAACCCGTTTTCCATCATAACATACAAACAACAATATTCACATCTAATCCTTAAAAGCAAAAGCGACGCTTACAAAAAAATATATAAGCGAATATAAAATCTACCTGGAGCACGGGGACGCTCAAGGAGAATCTCTTCAGTGGAAACCATGGTAAGGCGGCTGCCGACATCCTCATGGACAGCGTCCCCGAACTTAGGCCAGGAGCGACGTTCCACGGCACGCTTGCTGAGGCGGGCGTTGGCGAGCTTGCGGATGCGGGTTGTGGTGATAATCTTCACCTTGTTTCCCTCGTCGTTGAACTTGTACTCCACCACTTTCTTTATCCCGTTCTCGTCAGGTCCAATAACCTGTTTCGGCGGCAGCAAGAAGTCCAGATCCTCCCCGTCGTCTTCTTCCAGCTCCCCCCACCGCACCTTGCTCGGTTGCATAGCTGACTCCACCGCCATCACTGCTTTGGATTTAGATTTGGGAGTGGCTAGGGTTTGAACGCAAATTGCAATGAAAAGAAACGGAATTATCGACCTTATCTTATACTTCTCCACTTGACTTAAACGCAAAGTTTTAGAACAGACATAAATGAAACTTTTCAATTCTTGATGGACAAAAGTGCAATCAAGTTCAGAGGCAATACGAGACTTAATTGCAATATTTTAAAAGTTTAGGGACCAAAATATAATTTAAGAAAAGTTGCATTTTTAATTTAAGCATGAAGTTGTTAGGGTTAGAATGAGTCCATATTTGGTGGAAATTAAAATCACATTTTTAGTAGATTTTAATAAAAATTGATAAAATGTATTAATGAAAACTTGTGAGTCCCATAAGATGTTTGATTAAAATTTAATGTTGATTTCGATTTAAGATTTTAATTGAATTTTAATCTAGACTAAACAAGAGCTCAATGTAGTGTTATATTATTTCACATAGATTATCCTTCCGATATAAAATAGGCATTTTTTTTTCCGCGTGTCGGATTCTCCTATCGTCAACCATAACTATGTCGTTTAAGCCATTTGTTTTCATAATCAGCATTCCTTAGATTTCTCGGCTTAAGCATCCAATGTACGCCCTAATCGGTGCTACCAGCAGTTCGGGTCTCTATCGTTGTCTGTTTGTCACTGCTTCCACACTAAGTGCCACTGATGCCTGAAAGGTATGTTCTTTCTGCCTCAAATTTACGGGCAAGGAGACACTATCTACACTGACAGTGTCTCCATATCGCACGAAGACACCAGCGGTGTCTCCGTGCGAGACGGAGAAGAACAATAAGGCATCAGAGATTCAATCATTGGAGATGATATTCGAAATTTACAGATTGAGCTTTTAGTATATTTTTACAGATTTTAATATTTGATTTGTGAATTGCTATGAATGAATAATGAAATTAATGATGAATTTTCAAGGAGTTGTTGGGAATGAATTCTGTAAATTTTGACTCAAAATGAAGGGAAAAAAACCCCAGGCCATGTCTCCGTCCCATAGGGAGACACCTTGTGTCATGGAAACACAGTGACTTCGTGCGCGCACGTTTGTTGTTTTTTTTTTTTTTTTTTTGTTTCTTTACATTGAGATACATAAGGTGTCTCTGTGCCTTACGAAGACACACGGAAACACAGTGTCTCCATGCGCGCACGTTTGGTTTTTTTTTTTTTGTTTCCCTTTATATTGAGATACATAATACATATTCTTTTATTAGCCTAAAACTCTCCAAAAGGATGTGGAGAGAAATGAAATAAGATGAATAAATCTGAGAGGGTTTCTTTTTCTTTTTTTAATTAGATTAGGTTATAATTGATAACTATATTGTAATAAGATGTATGTGAAATTCTTTTTCTATATTTCATCACTACAATATAAAAGGAGCAAAACACTTTGTAACACTTGTGGCGCTTTCCAGAATTATTACTGAATTATTTCTCAGTAATAATTTTGCCAAATACTGAATTTCTTAGTAATAATTAGATCACCACCAGGGGCGTTGCCCCCGGACCCCACGAGGGGTGATGTCACTCGACCCCACGATGTGACCGGTCACATCTATCAGCGCCGCTGGCGTTGTCCCGAACCCATGAGATGACTTAAGATGCACATTGATTGGCTTTGAAATTGAGCAAGCAATCAAGTTTTATTGGTTTGAAGTTTCATGATCTCCAGATGGGGATTATATTACCTACCAAGTTTTATTGGTTTCAACTTTTAGCAATCGAGTTTTATTTTTCGTTTTAACTTTCAAGTTTTACTGAAAAAGTCTTGCTAAATAAGATTTAATTAGTGATGTCTTAAAAAATAATAAAAAATCAGTCAACACTATTACGTAGCCAACTATACTACGGCACATGCGCTCACTAGTTATATTAAAAAGATGTGTTTATATTCGGAGTTGTAGCGCAAGCTTAAAAATGATTTGCAACGTATTCTCTTTAAAATGAATTTTGAATCACATATTATTCTATATCCATGTTGTAACTTCTTGTTACATTAGAATGAATGAATGAATTTCTTATTATTTCTATGTTGAAATCTAATCTAACATTGTCTTGTAACATCCAATTAACGAAAATATTTTGTTTTGCATAATCTGAAATAAGTTTTTAGCATTCAAACTTAAATTATTTCTGCGCGTTCTACTTCATGATAGGTTACAAAATTTATGTTATAACAAGGAATTTGAGTTTATGTTATTTCTTTAATGTTTTAAATGACTGGATCGTGCTAAAACGTTCTGATTTGTAAAACAGTTTAATGCTGCATCATCTAAAATATATAAAATGAAGTGTTTAGGTTACATTTACTAAAATTCACTTTTGTTTAGGAAAAATTGCATTTAAAGTGTTACAGTATGATGAATTATTCTACATGTATATCAATGTTTACACACTAGTGCACATAATACCCAAGTAGCATTTCATCATTGGCGGGTGGGCAATTATGTACACCAAGGTACATGTAGCAAAACCCCAACATGATTTAGGGTCTGTTTGATTGCAATAGTGGAATTTGAATGAAAAATAAATAAATTCTAGAGAATTGAATTGCCTAGAATTGTTTTTCTGGGAATTGTCAATTAATTGTATTTGATTAGTATAATTTTTTATTTGAAAAATATTGAAATTTTGTATCTTTTGGTGTTTGTTTGGCTTTATTTTAAATGAAAATTGTCCATTAAAGGAATATAATTGTTTTAATTGGGAATATAATTTGTTTCCATTTAAAAAACTGGAAAACCATTTTCCCACAAACTGACAAAAGTGATGGGAAAACCAATTCAAGGAAAATAAGGAAAAATGCGTAACGTGAGGGATAAGGTGGAAAACCAATTCCATAGAAAATTCTTCCTATCAAACAATGTAAACGATGAAAAATGGAAAATGATTTCCAAGTTCAAAGGAAAATTGGGAATATCAAACAGGGCCTTAGAGAAATTGGTGCAAATGGTCCTAAACCTTTCGTAATATTGCATAATTGGTCAAAATCTCTCAAATGTGGAACGATCCCAAACCTTTTCAACTTTGGTGCAAAAGGGTCATTTTGGACGATTTCATCTATATAGGCCGTTAGTCTGGTCTTTGGAATGCAACTGAACTTATTGCTTTACTTGAATGAGCATTTTTATCAAGTGCACGTGTTAGTTTTCTTCCGTCAATAAATCCAAAAATTACCTGCCAATATGTTTGGTATATGAACTTAACTAACACGAGTAGCATTTCAAAATCTTAGTATTCCGTTGAAAAACGAATCCCAATATATGCGACTGTGGATTACTGCTGGATATGAAAATTTCGTGGACAAATCTGAACCCTGACAGACGCTTTCTTGCTTGCCATCGATGACAAATGATCTACGATTTAAAACTTTGCAAGGAAAAATGGTTATCTGCAAGTGTTCCTTAACTGTCTTGTTGTTTGTATTTTGGACAAGATCTAGGTGGTTGTGACTTTTTTGTGTGGTGTGACCCACCCACTTGCCAGAGATGTAAAGATACAATACCTGAATTGTTGAGCTCTAATGGAAGGCTGCGAGAAGAAAACATATACCTGAAGACAAACTAACAGCACTTAAAAGGACTATTTGCGCCAAAATTGAAAAGGGTTTGGGACCATTTGCGCTACATTTGAAAGATTTATTAAGATACAGTTCATGAGAATGAAAAATTAATAACCGGTATAAATCAATAGCTCGAAATTCACATAATATAGTTCGCCAAAAATGAATTACTAACCATGTAAATATACAAATATTTTCCATTTTATTGCACAGGCACCAAACCGTCTTGCTTCATCTTTATAAGACTGTTCTCTATGTTCCGCAGCACAGGCTTGTAGCTGCAAAAATGTTGAACATCAGTAAGAAGAAAAACTGGCAAAACAGAAAATGTGGAAGGGCTAGAGAGGAAGGCATACATGCGCGCAAGACCATTATATGCTTGTGTAGCTTGTTGGAGGCGTGCTGAGAGCTGCAAGACCTCAGCAGACAGAGCCTCGGATCTGCTTTGTTCTTTAGCAAGTAGGCCCTGCACGAGTTACAAATCGAAATGGCAGAAAATAAGTTACAGGATGATCGCAATGTCGAACAAAAGAAATGATGCTGTCTCTTCACTTGCAAAGCCTATATGTTATCTACCTACCAAAGAAGGCAGGATAAAGCAAACTTCATAAGATGTATAGTATAGAACAGATAATCTAAATCCACTGGCATAGCACCACAGACAATTCATTAATTGACTTTACAACTCAAATCAACGCTCCTCCCACTAAAAGCACAGACAACATTATGCAAAACGAAGCAAAAATAAGCAATTAATTATTAATTAAAACAGGACTCTTTCCAATTCAAAAACAAGAAAAGCAATTAAGAGAGAAGTTTCATTTAACAAACCTTGAGGGCAAAAAAATCAGTTGCATACTGGGAGCCATCACCTTCTTCCATGGGTTCCAGGGGTCCCTTCTGGATAATTCTATCATTCAGAGTTGGTACACTGGTTTGTTCTGCACGCAACTTATCTAAAATGCTACGGAGTTCCTCATTTTGCTTCAGACAATCTTTTACCTGCACAAAACAAATATTATGCAAACTATAAAGAAGAAAAGGATGGTAATTTGAAAAACAGGCCTTTAGAAATTTTACAGGGCAAATCAAGATTGGTAGTATAATCTCAACTGGAGGTTAATCATATAGCTTTGAAGTCACTCCACCAAATTCAGCTAAAAAACAAGCAATAAATTGGTGCCTAAGGAAACATATGGTAAGCAAAATGCTTATTGCAATTTGCAACAAGGTGCAAAAACAGGAAAAATGATTCGCTACTCCAAAAGTATAAAATCTTAAGGCAGAGACTGCCCTTTCACAATAGAAGAAAAATCAGTTTAAGATGAAAGGTACCAAAAATTAACACAAAGGATACAGTTTTGAAGAGTTCTTATAGAGAGTAATAAATCAATATAATAAAACA